TTTATTGTCTTGAAGACGTGATACCAATCTATGTCTCAAACCAGGCAAGGGGAACGAACCAGCTCACCATTCAGACCTAAACTTGCGGAATCAAAAACATCAGCGGAGACGGAAGACTGTGATCGGGCGAAAGCTGAGCTCTGACATCGCCTCAAAACGACGTGGCTGCTCCAAGGTACGAGACGGTACGTGCATGTACCTGTTGACTCCACCTCCCTCCTTTTGAGGAGAAGACGGTCACTTGGGTCAATCAATTGCGGACGTGCTAGCCGGTTGAAGCGGGCAGAAGAGACCACGAGATCCTGGCGGTGCAGCCTCTGCCGCTTTGGAATTTGGAGAGCTTCTCGTACGCACAGTACGAACTAAGAGTCCACACTCCACAGCTGGAGACCGGATTTGTAGCAAATGACGAAGAAGGCATCGAGGCAGCGATATAAGTGGCCCGCCAGCGCCGCCCAGTTTGAGCACAACAAGTTTCAAGTTCATCGTCGTCCAAAGCAGCACCCAACACCGCTGTGATTCCCAGACATTCAATTGCATTTCTGTTCTCTTTTAACACTCTACACACCCTCCAAACCACGCTCGGTAAGTTTTGACTCGCGGTCCCACCCTCCTCCAGGAGGCAGCTGCCCCTCCATCAGCCCCCTTTCCCACCACACCTCCCCCCAGTCAGATGCAAGCGGTCTGTCAAACCACCATGCGCCAGTTGGCGATGGGCGAGTTCTCGATCCCCATTGTGCGACATCGTGGGCCGTTCCTGCTGTTTCCTTGGTTACAGCAGGTGTGAGGCACGCTTATATCCGCGATAGCAGCATTCTGTAACGCGGAGCCACATCTTCCTGTCATGTAACCGCATTAGCTAGAGCCGTTTTCTTCTCATCACTATCTGCCTGTCTCGCTTCTTATCGGCCCGCCACTCGTCTCGGTCTGGCGGTGACTCGTTATCTGCGGGCTCAAGGCTGCGCGGCTTAAGTACCGTGTTATCACGGCTGTCAGGGGGGCAGGCGGACGGGCCCTTCTTGGGTCGGATTGTCGAGAGCTTCAGCCGTTGGGCGCGCTTATCTCGCATCAGCTCCAAGCCTTCCCTCTACACACTCACCGATTCTCCTGCAGCATGTGCTAACTAGTGTACTTCCCCAGACACCAGACATAGGACTGTCTTCGTGGTACCACACTCCGCAAGAACCCGGTCCCACCCATCCTCTCCGTCTTACCTGCTCGTCGCTCCTTCCGCCATCGCAACCGAGCTACCAACGGCACCTCCCTTGACACTACCGCGCAACATATCTACCAGCCCGACCCTCCGCCGAGCTTGCCCACCATGTCCGCTACCACGGCTCAGCAACCTCCTGTCATACCTCCGAGACCCTCGAGGAGTCAAGAGAGAGCACCCCTCCCAATGGTCCCTCCACGCCCTGCCAACCGGCGCTTCCAGCGCTCAATAAGTCCCAACCCGGACCGTTTCGCTCCCTCGCCGCTCAACGAGAGCCCCCTCATCAAGTCCAAGTCCCTCCACCCCGGCGGCCGCAATCATGGCGATCCTATCCCCCGTTCCACTTCCGTCGACCTTCCCTCGCTTGGCGAAGAGGGTGCCGAGTATGCCAACCTGACTCAAGAGTCGAGCCCCTCCAACGAGGAGAGCAGCAGCCCCGAGCACACCCGCACCATCGGCGAGGATGTCAAGCTTCATGCGCCTAAGCCATCGCTGCCTGCCTCTAGCGCAAAGCAGCGTGTGATGGCCGTCACCCGTACCGACAGCGACCGCGCTGCCGCCTTTGGTATTGGCAGACCCAGCAGCAACGACGACTCTACTGCCGCCCTGCCCTCGAACCGCAGTCTCAAGAAGAAGGCCAGCACAATCAGTCAGCTGTCTGCCAAGAGTGACCTCGATGACGAGCATGGCATTCCCGAGATTGGTATCCAGGTTCCCATGCTCAAGTATGCGGGTGATGTCCAGGCTCCGTCCCCTGCCCCGTCAACTGTCGAGAAGAAGCACCACAGCCGTAGGTCATCCAGCCGTGGCAACCTACCCCCCGGCAGCTACGGCTTGCACGGTCATGGCGTGGGCCCCCAGGACAAGCTCGACAAGGCCTACTTTGAGAAGCATCCCGAGCTTCTCAAGAAGGAGCATGTGCTCCACCACTATGACCGTGTCAAGGACTTCTCCATGAGCAGTGAGGAGCTGAACAAGATTGTCCGTGAGACCATCACTCGCGGTTCTGGTCTTGGTGTCAAGAACTACTCCGGCACCCCTACTGATCAGGTCGCCTGGCAAGCCTTGGAAGAGTCGACCTCCCGTGTCGCCTCTCCTGGCCCTGCTTCTCCCAAGAAGCCTTCTTCAGTCGTCTCCGACTCGGACAAGGAAGCGCGCCGCGCCTCTTCCATCAGTGACGTCATCCACGTCGAGGAGCCCAACCGCCGGAGGTCTGTGATGTTTAGCGACAACGAGTCGCCCGTCATTGAGGAAGACGCTTATGAGGCGCCTATTCTTGCTGAGGACGAAGTCGCCAAGGACCCATCGCCGTATGTTCACCAACCTGCTGTCGAACTTCCCAGCGAGGAGCAGTCTACCAGTCGTCCCACAAGCAGACCCGCCAGCATCTACAAGGAGCATTCGTTTGAGCACCGCTCCACTCCCCTTGAGGATGTCGAGGAGTATGAGCCCCTTTTCAAAGATGATGACAAGGTCGCCAAGAAGGAGCCAGTGAAGGAGGAGAAGCCCAAGAGCGTCAAGAAGCAGCGCTTCCCTAGCGCGGATATCTGGGAGGACGCCCCCAGCTCCGTCTACTACACGGCTGAGGTGTCTACCCCTGATCTCTTTGAAGGCGAGGACAAGTCTGAAAGTGTCGCCAGCATTGTTCCCCCTGCTAGAGATGGCGAGACTCCCGCTCAGGCTTTTGCCCGTCAGCAAGAGGAGCTCGCTGAGAAGGAGGTCAGAGAGCGCGGTGCGGATGGTTTCATTCCCGGCCGGAGCGCAAAGCCACTCTGGGCTAAGCATCAACCCCATCTTGTCAGCGAAACCAAGCCCACCGGCCGTCCTGGTATGCGCAACCGCTTCCCCAGCCGCGACGTCTGGGAGGATACTCCCGAATCCCTCCAGCTCGAGACAACCGTCTCCACCCCTCAGCAAGACGACGCTGTCCCCTCGCCTGTTGAGAACAGCTCCCCTACCACCGCTGCTAAGAAGCCCGAGCTCCCCTCTCGTCCCAAACCCAAGGTTTCTGGTGACGACCACAAACCTACCATCCCCGAGCGTCCCAAGCCGGCAATTCCTGCCCGCCCAGTCAAAGCCGGTCCCACCTCTGGCGGGCTAAACTCTGCTGAGGCGGCCGCGCCCCCCAAACAAAAGCCAGCGGTGCCAGCTAGGCCCGTGGGCGGGAAGATCGCGGCGTTGCAGGCTGGGTTTATGAATGATTTGAACAGACGCTTGCAGCTGGGTCCTCAGGCACCGGTCAAGAAGGAGGAGCCGGTGGAGGAAAAGGAAGAGGAGGAACAGAAGGAGAAGGCTCCGTTGGTGGATGCGAGAAAGGGGAGGGCGAGGGGGCCGCAGAGAAGGGCGCCTAGTGCCAAGCAGGAGCCTCCCAAGGTAGAGTCCAATCCCGCAGCCACTTTTGGCGTTTCATCGGCGTTTACCTTCTTTGAGATTGATCCTGAAGAGGGTGATCTCAGTGTGGGCGGGCACCCTAGTCTTGGGGAGCCAGAGTCGCCAGTGGAAAAGGCGAAGGAGGAGGTTGAGTTGAAGCCTGGAGAGGAGGAAAAAAAGGAGGAGGCTCCTGCTGTGGAGGAGAAGACCGAGGAGGAGGTGCCAGAACCGGAAGCTAAGGTTGAGGAACCTAAAGAAGAACCTAAGGCTGGAGAGTCCAAGGTTGAAGAACCCAAGGTTGAGGAGCCAAAGGCTGAACCTGAACCTGAACCTGAAAAGGAGGAGTCTGAACCCAAAAAGGGGATCGTCGAGACGGTCAAATCTCTGGTGACGAATATGGCTGGGGAGACGATTGTTGAGGAGAAGGTGGAGAAGGATGAGGAGAAGAAGACTGTGGAGTCTGTTACTGCTGAGGAGAAGTGATTTTTCTTTTCTGTGGTTGATATAAGATGGTGATGATTATGATGACTTATTTTTTTTGAAAGGTATTAAGTCACTCGTTTATTTGCTTCTGCTTTTTTTTGTTCTGAGCTTTAGCGTCGAGTTTGTTGGTTATTTTGGTGTGGTTGGTTGGAAGAAAAAGAAGTTGTAGGGACTTTCGGTCGTTGAGATGGGGGGTTAATGGGCGAGTGGTGGTGGTGCTATAAAAAGTTGATATAATGCAAAAGATTGATTCGTTCTTTTCCGAGGCATAACTCTAGTTCCTTATCGATGTTTTTTTTTTTAAAAAAAAATCCTTTTTTTGCATGTGAAATATGTGAGTTGCTTATGATGGAGCTTAAGGGGTGTGTGAGATGTGACAGACTAAGCCATCAAAAGATTGGTAATGGGCCCTCGTGGGAAGTTGAAAGAGTTTTTACACCAGCCTGGTTTCAGTCTTTACATCACTCCGCCAGAACCAGACTTGGCATCCCTCTAGCGGCCGATATTTACTAGATAGTAGATATTGGCTCATGTTTAATCGAGACTGTTTTCCACTCTACCCCTTCACTCCTTGCCCTTCAACCTTACTCACCCCTGGCGAACCAACCCTCCCATCTGGAACCAGTTAACTCTTTCAGCCACTTGTCTTCCCCCAAAACCTGATACCTGATACCTGGTAATCTTGTCGCCCCTTCTTCGCTCTGTATATCTCAAAGTTTCTCGCCGTGATGGGCCCGAGTCCACACTCGGCGGTTGGTGGCTAGCCAACACACCCAGCCAGTCAAGGAAGGAACCCCCCTCACAACCTTCCTTCCTTTCCCTACAACCGCCGCTAGGCAGTACTCGCCACCGGCTCCCGCCCTCCTTCCCTCGCAAGCCATATATCATCCACTCTCCCCGCACTTCTTTCCATCCGAGAAGAAGAAGTCCAGAGCCCCATATGGTGTAGTGGTTAGCATATTAGGCTTTCAACCCAGATCAACTTGAGATTTTACCTCAAGGTTGCTGCTACCCCTGGAGTCCCGGGTTCAATTTCCGGTGTGGGAAATATTCTTTTTTGACTTCCCCAAAACCCCCCCTTCCTTTTTATTCTCGTTGCTATTGCCGCCCTCATTCACGGTTTCCCTTCTTCTTGTTCGTTTACTTGCTTGCTTGCCACCCATGCCCCATGGACTAGGACTCGCTCTCCCTCAAAGGATGTACCTGATGAGGTTGTAAATCAAAAGCGACTTCGGCTCGAAAAATCAGTTGATTTCTGCCCCTTTATCATCTTAGTCTCTTAGGTTGTCGGGTAGAGGAGAATCGGTGAGGAAGGAGGGTGTTGCATAGGGTTAGTTGGCTCGGAAAAGTTCGGCACAGCATCAAAAACATCAGCATTTTTCATTAACAGGAGGAAAATGCTTTCCTTTACCCTTAAATTCAACGATCGATAACCTAACCATACAAGACAACGCAAGAACGAGACATGAAAGCCGGCGCCAATAACACCAATATTCCTGATTTCCCTTCTTTTTTCCTGCCTGGTGCAAAAAAAACCAGTATCTCTGTGTTGAGGGTATTGGTTTTTTTCCTTCCTGTATACTAAAACAGTAAACAGTAGCAATACTAATGAAAAAAGGACTGACTGGCTTCTTCATCACATCACTTTGAAAATACCCCTCCTCCCCTTCATCTGACTCCTCCATCTAAATAACCATGTTGAATCCCGGCCCAGCCAGCTCTTGTTCACCACTCCTCCTCCTCCATTCCTTCCCTCTTCCCCTCCCCTCCAGCCCCTCTTCTTCCCCCCTCCTATCTCCAACAAACGCGAGCACCGGATAAAACAATTATACAATCATCTGCGCCACCCCCTGCCCGCCCAAAGTCTTGCTCCCCACAAACGCCTGCCCCTTCGCCCCCGCCAACCCATAGCACGCCCCCGTTAGCGTCAGAAAAACCGCTGCGGCGATCAACGACGTTCTCGTCGAGATGCAGCTCAGCCAGAGCACCAGCGCCATCACCCCATACGCTCCCGCCCTCATGTAGTTCGTCGAGATCTTTCTTATAGCGGCGTCGAACGAGGACGAGGTGGGGCAGATGCGGAGGAGGAGCGGGACCTCGACGAAGAGGATGACGAAGCTAAAAACCATGGCGACGACGGAGAAGGCGATGATGACGATGTTGAGGGAGAAGATGGACGAGATGATGTTGGAAAGGCCGAGGGCGAAGCAGAGGATCATGGAGAGGATGCCGAGCCATTGGCCGTAGATGCCTGGGATGGATTTAGTAAGGGGGTTAGGGGGGAAAGGGAGGGAAAAGGGGGGACGGACTGAAGTTGCGGGTTTGGAATTCTTCTTTTAAGGTCATTTTGACGGACTTGGTTCACCCGTTGGTTGGTGCGGTAGTGACGATATGATAGTGGTGCTTCTTCGCGGTGTGGGTTGGTTCAAAGCTCGATAGCTTGGTGGATAGCTGCAGGTTGTAGCTATTCCCGACTAAACCCAACTCTTTTCACTCTTGCGCACACCGGTCCTATACTTGATGGACGTTGTAGCTCGTGCGGTCGTTCGTTTCTAGAAACGTAGCTAGATGGCTATTCCTTTCGTTGCTGTTGGCGGCGGTGGTGGATCGATTGCGACGGGCGACGCAGCACACAGAAAGGATGACGACGATCGATTGATTATGATTGCGCCTCGATCCAATAATCGATGGGGAAATAAAACGTGGCTTCGTTAATCGCGTTGTCCGGCAGGTTAGACCTCGTCTGAATGCTCCTTGTCTGTCTAGCAGAGTGAGCAAGCAGTGTGTTGTATGGGGCTTGGTAAAGTTAGGAAAGAGCTGTTGTCGCCTACCTACTTTCTGAAGCGAAAGCACTGACACCTGGTAACCGCACCGTTGGTCTTTTCGGATGTAGAGAGGTGGGTCAAGCTGTGAGGCTTTGCAAGCGCCGATTGGGTAATCTGTGGCTGTAACACTGGTGACAGGCGTGACAGGGATCGGTGAAGCCGCTTCTTCTTGCTGCGACGCTTCGTTCTTGTTGAGAACGGAGACGGAGGGCGTTTCTTCTTTAGCAATATCTGTGGAATAGTGGCATGCTGTTTGGCCCGGCCGTGGTATTTATTTTACAGTGCTCTCTGTGAGGAATGCGGGCCATGACAGTGAGCCAACTGACATCCTTTCCGCGGACCATCTGAGACCGATGAATGGGCTTTAAATGTATTCGCAAGGGCAGGCCGCCAAACAGGCACCCGATTTCCGAGGCCCCCTGCTGACGTACCTTCCTGGCCATGAGGCTCCAAAGTTACGCGGCATAGCTCCGTTCACACAAATCATCTCCTCTGCACCATTGGCGTAAAATGTTTATTAACCCCAAAATAGTAGCTACTGCTGGCGAAAAAAATCAAAATCCCTTCCCTCTTTCCCGTCAGCCCATCTCCAGACGCCGCCCACATCAAACGTTCAGATGCCGCCGCCTTCTTTTCTGGATCTTCATGCATTTTTTGTGTATTTGGCTTATGATATCCTCACGGCTCCGTCTAAATGATAGCTTGCCCCCCCGTCAACATCGCCAAGGTTGCTTAACCGAAAACGAGCTTGAAGATGTCGTTGAAGACGAACCACTGGCCCTGGGGATCCTGGACCAGCTGGAAGGCCTGGGAGAACTTAAGGGGGTTGGCCTCGTCATCAACCTGGTTATGACACATTCATATCAGTATTGCCCGCCTCTTCATCCAGAATATTGTATGAAACTTACCAGGAGCTGACCGGTGACCAATATGACGATACCTCCGGTAGCGGTGGGCTGGGCATCAGCGGTGTCGAAGTGATGCTTGACCTTCTGGAATGGGAGGTTCTGTGACAGATCTAGTCAGTCACTGGTCTTCGTCGTGTCGCGCGATTAGATGATCTCTTACGGTGAGCTTCTCGGCAATGCTGGCGGCACCAAGGGATTGCGATGACTCAAAAGTCAACATGGAGTTCTCTCTCTGTTGGTTCTGTTAGCTGCCAATGCCTCAACTACAGCTTGCTCTTTCCGGGACATACGTAGAGACCAGCCAAGTTCTTGCGGTCGGTATCAAAGGTGGTGTAGTAGTGGGTGACGAACTGCGCTGTTTGGGGGGGGACACAAAAACAGCGCGCGTTAGCTTCTCTTCTCGCAATCGTATATATTGCTACGTTGGAGCTATGGCGGTGGTGTAAACTCACTCGCAATTCCCTGGAAATCGACTGTTTGCCATCGTGTTAGCTACTGAGTTCATTTTGACCGTGCAAGCAACTCTGCGCGCGCAAACCAGAAGGCATCGCGAACATGTTCGCTCTCTCCTCCACAATAGCGCGATGGCGGGGTAATCCGAACAGCTTCGTTTTCCCAACCCCTCCAGCTCTCCTTTTGCAGCGCGCACAGCCCTTGTCACATTTTCAGAGGGACTCGGTATGAAACTTACAAGCCATCTTGACGGTATTTGGTTGCTTCGCAGCAGACAACGACCTTGGGTTTCTGTGATGTAGTTGGCGAGGAAGAAAAAGTAAAGCAAGGCCTCGCGGAGGGGGAGATATTAGAAGATCACTTTCGAACCAGGCACCCGGCAGCAGCCCAGTCCCACCGCACGCCGCAGCCCAAGTCAAAAGTGGGGTTCCCGTGCCACTCCAAAGATTCATGGCTGATCAGCTGGCTGCCTGATTGATCAGGCAGCAAGAGCTCCAGCGAGAAAAAAAATAAGCTCTGTCCGCACTTTTCCATTGGATATAAATTTCAACTCTGAAATAATTTGGAGACGTTTCTTCTCTTCCTTCCTTCACGCTCCCGCATCTTGATTGGTAAGACACACCCTTTTTCTTTTGCACTGCACCCTCCTTTATCATGATGACAAAACCTGCTCTTAAGAACGGCCAACAGAATAAATCATGTTGATTAAATCAAATCATCAAGCTCAACAGTCTGACATTCTACCCAATACACTTCAATGTTTGCACGCATTTCTTGGAATCAAAACAGGAGCGCTAACAATTTGACGATTAGATCGCGGACATTTCGGCATTGGATACCGTTGGTTTGGATTGGGACTTTGGCAGGTCAGGACAAGAGTTGGGCATTTGGTTTGAAGGAAAGAGTTGTCGCCCAACAACCAGCCGCGTTGGGCCAGCCATTCATCATCTTGTGACACCTTCACTCGTGTGGGGTGGACAGCCAGTCAGCCTTGCTCAAGGCAGTCGGGGCGTGCATCTGCTCGTTATCTTGGGCTTCATCACAGCGATTAGAACTTCTACCTGGCTGGTAGATGGCTTGGCTTGGCTTGGCTGGATTGTTGGGCAAGGCTCTTTCTGCTCTCGCCTCGGTCACACCATGGATAATAATAATAGATCAGACGTTCTGCCATTTCAATGCACTGCCCAAACTCTGTGACTGTGGCATGTTGCCGTTCTCAACCCAACAGCCGAAGCCGAGATATCCTAAGACTTTGAAAGATATGACTAAGCGGTTTGAACCCAACGTCTTCACGAGCTGATGGGAAGTCGAGCCTTGATCTTCCAAGCCAGGGCGGAAATACCTTCTTTTGACACATCTTCAAAAACCAAGCATGTGCGGATACAAAAATACATGAAAACGTTCTTTTGAGACTTTTAATGATTTCGTCCAAGTCCTTGAGGTAGTTATCGAACATGTTTCTGCATCTCGAGGCAAGATGTAACCGCCCCCTTTATTACAAAGCATGAACTCTCTCTCTCTCTCTTTCCAAACCTCGCTCTTCTTCTTATTCCTTCCTTGCACTTTTCATAAGTTATACCGGCCTGCTCTCTGTGAACGAACCCATTCCCAACCATCCTCTCCTACCCCAAAGTCCTCATTCGCCCCTTCACATCCTTCATTGCCCCCTTCATGTCCCTCAACATTCCGTCATTTTCTCTCGACATATTCCCACCTCCTTGCCCTCACCATCAGGAATCACAGAAATTATATTCTTCCTTGGTGCCTTGAAGAGCTGCCCTCTTTCTCTTCTCCGGCAAGAGGAGGCATGGTAGTGGATCGAGACAGGTGGATTGTATGTGTGAAGGGTCGGGTGTGTGAG